AACAATTTACAGCATGACAAAGAATCCGTGAGATTAAATGTCTGTACTTGTGGTGGTAGATGTCTGGGTCTCGGCTGACGCGGTTCTGAAAGCCGATGTACAGGTCGTCCCACAGACAGCCGTGCAGCACCACGTACCTCATCACTCCAATCCTGTTTTTAATCTTAGATGAAACGAAGCAGCATGAGCATAACAGCATGTAAATAAAGTATCCAGGCAGAACAGGAGTTTTTCAGATGTTAGATGGCAGACGTGATCATTTCCTCACGATTCGCTGGGAGTCAGGAGGAAATCACTATTGTTCACATCCTGTTATCTGTTTGTTTAGGGACTCACCTCCAAGTAGGCGTGCTCTCTGTCAGGTCTCTTTGTGGGGAACGATAGATCCAGAAAGTCCACCAGATAGTCATAACCGTCAGTGATGCATTCAAACTTGTCGTCTGTTTCAATGACCTACACGGAGACACACTCTGAGTGAGACAGCAATGCAAAAGAAAAACGAGTGAGAGAAGGAGATGGTTAACAGCTAGAAGGAAGCGAGGTGGTGATGAGGGATCAGAGCAGAGAGCGAGTTGTTTGTTTTTTTAGATTTCATCATTGCAGGATGTTACCTGCACGCGTATCATCAGCTTCTGCTCAGGTACCACAGAGGCTGCTGTAGCATGAGGGAAAGGAATTATTAAAAAACATAAAATAAAATTTCTGCTCAGCTGTAAAAAAACAAACAAACACGTATTTATTGCTTTAAAACACTGGAAGCCCGTCTCTATCATAGCATAGTTACAAGGAAGCTTAGCCGGAAAACGTCTCAGTTCTGTTGAACTTCTACATTTTTCATTGGATTTTATGGTTTACAAGGTTAACGGAAAGTAAAACGATGCACACATCATGTGCATGAAAAAAAGATTTCATTCACATTGCTCACTGCTTGGTGGACAAGTTCAGTACGGAAGATCTTTAGTCATACATCTGTCTGCTTCCCAGGTTTTTGGGGCTAATCTCAGCTTCACGTCACTGTCACAGTCAGCCTGATTGTGACATCACTGGTCTAGTCCAATCGTCTTTTTTAAAGAGGATGACTTTTTTAAGTCATCCTCCGCTCTGCGTACTTTAAATCTCATCTGTTCTTTTCCCTTGCAGTCGTCTTCATGCAACCCACCTCCTCCCCATCTCAGCCTCTCCCATATTACTCAAGCTCCATCCAAACCTCCACCTTCATCTCTACCCAGACTCCCGGGGTGGTCCTGCCCCAATCCCTGTCACTGCTGGGATTATGTTCTGCTGCGATGGGCCCTCAGACTATGATGGCAAAAAATCTTAATTGAATTCTGTACATTGATGAATCATGCTCAGTTCTTTCTAATGATCTCTCCTTATTGAACATCCATCTTATTGTCCAGCTCATGTTGGCTTTCACGGGGCAGGAGGCAGGGCGCATTCTGAGCGGGTTGTTGGTCCAATCTCAAGACGCACAATAGTTTTAATTTTGTTTTTTCTTAATGCTTTCTCCCCCAACCATATAAAAATGGACAAAGTAAATATTTTTACAGTCCTTTTTTGCAGGCTTGTGTGTTTTATTTGGTTTTTGGAAGCAGTAAGCAGAGAAATGCTTTTAGGTAGGAAAAA